TGAACTGGTTAGTGCAGAGAAATCGGTCACCTATGGTTTACCGTATGGTGCTTTTGTTTTTTGTGTAAAATACGCGTTGCCGTGGGCGAAGTTGGGTAAGCACATGCCAATTACCACAAGGTGGGTTTATAGTCGGGGCGGCACTCGAAGATTAGAGTGTTAATCGTTTTTGTTCGGAGAACTCGCGCCGATCCGGTAACGAAGTTAGTAAAATTAAAAACGTGCGTGAATCAAATTCTTGTGACCAGTTCGAGATAATCCGGGAAGAAATATTGTTGCGAAGGATAAAGTAGTAGTTTTAAACGCATGAATGAAAGTTTAGTGACCCTCATTCACAAACGAAAATTTACGGCTTAGGTGTTACGTTAAATACGAACAATAGTGGAAACAAAGATTAAAACTGCGTCTACAGTTTAATTCGAATACGGTCAACAGTTTAAATTAAAAAGACACAAATTAAACTTTGTCATTATAGGTGAATGAATGTGTCATTTTGTACTTCGTTGCACGTCTGATTGTGTGCAAATAACATTTTTATACGACACGGACATTTACCGTCGGATTACGTACTTTTGGGTGAGCGCAATTTGAATTGAACTTCCAAAAGTGTCATTCATTATACGGGACCGAGTACGGGACCTAGGTTTTTTGTATCTACTGTGAGATGTCTGCTTTCAAAATTTCAAACGACCAGTACCGTTCGCGTATACTGGGTCATTCTTGACGAGCGTCAGTTAGAAAGATTTGGAAAACCTTTGAAAATGAAGATAAACTGATAAGTTCTTTAAGGGTTTTGGCACATGATGAATTGAACTAAAATATTTTCAAAATGGCGCCACTTCCGGAAATACCGGAAGTAGCCACCAACTAACTTTCTACATTTTCGGATTCTACGTCGAATTTGGAGTACAACGATACCCCATAGTTGACTCTTTGCTCCAAGGGCTTCGCCGATATTCAAGTTTTTGTGTCAAAAATTGAATTTGCAGGGGTAACTTTAAAAATTTATTATTCGAAAACGGTGAGAGATATTGCAAAACGATTTTAAATGCTTTATTAAGGAAAAATCGAATTTTCTTATGGTATGCGTAACCGTCTAAAAAAGTGAGACTACGTCACTTTTTCAAAGCTCTCAACTTTTAAACTTTTAAATATCCGTAACTCCATTTTTTCAAATGGCACCCCCCATTTTGTTCTTCACCCTTGTTTTCCTTTTTCCCAGACCTTTAATTTGATGCAAAATGTCAAAAGCTGCTTCAAACGGTTTCCGAGATATTCCATGTTTTAGTTACTTCTTGTGGAAAGTTGATAAAATAAATCGCTTGATGTTATTCTTTTGTTTTTATTATGATAATGTTTAAACGTCAAATTGTCGCTGCTTTTTCCTGGCAGCTACTCGATTACATTCACCGTGTATTAATATTAAATTCAAAAAATCTTCATTAGTGTAACCCAAACGAGCCATTATTGACGAGAAGTATAAGTTCAAGCAGCAAAAATTTGACGTTTAAACATTATCATAATAAAAACAAAAGAATAACATCAAGCGATTTAATTTTTTTATCAACTTTCCACAAGAAGTAACTAAAACATGGAATACCTCGGAAACCGTTTGAAGCAGCTTTTGACATTTTGCATCAAATTAAAGGTCTGGGAAAAAGGAAAACAAGGGTGAAGAACAAAATGGGGGCTGCCATTTGAAAAAATGGAGTTACGGATATTTAAAAGTTTAAAAGTTGAGAGGTTTGAAAAAGTGACGTAGTCTCACTTTTTTAGACGGTTACGCATACCATAAGAAAATTCGATCTTTCCTTAATAATAATAATAATAATATGATATATTGTGCTACTGTGTGTTTACACTTACACTTGTCGTACATAATTCTAAACTAACACAAAAACATTTAGGTTTACATTCATAGAATAAAAAGAAACTAAAGACATTTACAGTTATTCACAAACTCATCAAACGTATAAAAAGCTTTCGACAATAAAAAATTCCTAATTTTGTTTTTAAACTTAGGCAACGGTAATTGTTTTATGTGTGGGGGCAAACAGTTATATAAAAATTTCGACTGGTACAAAATACCATCTTGCGATTTGCGTAGCCTACAAAATTCAGCGCGTATGTTATTTTTGTTCCTAGTGTCATGTTGGTGTATTTCATGTTGCAGTATGTTCTGAGATTTATTACGTTTAGTATAACATACGGCTTCTAAAATATAAATGCACGGGACAGTCAGGATTTGTAGTTTAACAAACGTTTTTTGGCAATCTTCTCTATATCCAATGCCCCTATTACGCGAACAGCTCTGCGTTGTAATCTAAAAATACACCGCCAGTGGGAACTGTGGCCCCAAGCAAGGATTGCGTAACAAATGAACAAAAGCGTAGTAAGCAGATCGAATTGTATTTAGGGAAGTATTGCTTCGTAGTCGATTTAATAGAAATATTGACCTGTGCAACTTTTTTGTTAGACTTCTGCACTGATGGTTGAAATCTAGTTTGGCATCGATAACACAACCTAGGAAACTAGTTTTTAATTCACTATTGGGAATATTTTTCCTCAATGATAATGGCAAGACATTAGTCTTATCATGGTTTAGTTTTAGGGTGTTATTGGCACACCATACGTCAATAATCTTGATGCACTCTTGAATGGTAGAGTATGCATTTTTAGAGTTCTGATCAGTAGAAATTATCGTTGCATCATCGGCGTACAGTATACAGTGTACATTATCGGGTAGACATGCAGGGAGGTCATTAATGTAAGTTAAGAATAGCAGGGGACCAAGAATAGACCCTTGCGGTACACCACGCTTTATCGGCAATTTGTTGGACACTGAATTATTATAATTGACACATTGGTATCTGTCAGTTAGAAAAGACATAACTAAAGAAGTGCTCCGAATGCCAAGTCTATAAATGTGCCCAAGCTTCCGTATTAAAATATTGTGGTCTACACAATCGAAAGCTTTGGACAAATCGACAAACGCGGCAACCGTATGTTGTTTATTTTCGAAACTCTGTAACGCTTTTGACACTAAGTTGTTAATTGCGTCAGAGGTTGATCTATTTTTACGGAAACCATATTGGTGTCGATAAAAGATGTTGTAGTTTTCAAAATGAGTTACCAGTTGTTTATAAAGAATTTTTTCAATTACTTTACTAAGCACCGGTAGATTAGAAATCGGTCTGTAATTGTTGATTTCCTGTGCATCTAAGCCTTTTTTTAAGTGAGGAATAACTATAGAGCAATTTTCAAGGTAACGGGAAAAATACCTGTTTTGATTATCAGATTTGCCAGTTTGGTTATGGGCTCTACAAACGCACTAACATTACGTTTGATCAAAGTAATACTTAAACCATGGGTATCTCTGGATTTGCTGTTTCTTAGACTTTTTATGGCGTCACGTGTATCAACTTGTGATACACATTTGAAGTCAAACCTGTATTCGTCAGAATAACTTAATTTACAAGAGAATAAAGCATTTAAAATCGTTTTGCAATATATCTCACCGTTTTCGAATAATAAATTTTTAAAGTTACCCCTGCAAATTCAATTTTTGACACAAAAACTTGAATATCGGCGAAGCCCTTGGAGCAAAGAGTCAACTATGGGGTATCGTTGTACTCCAAATTCGACGTAGAATCCGAAAATGTAGAAAAAATAGGGGGTCCCTATTTAAAATAACAAAGTTGATGGCTACTTCCGGTATTTCCGGAAGTGGCGCCATTTTGAAAATATTTTAGTTCATTCATCATGTGCCAAAACCTTTAAAGGACTTATCAGTTCAGCTTAATTTTCAAAGGTTTTCCATATCTTTCTAACTGACGCTCGTCAAGAATGACCCTGTATAGAGACACCGCTGGAAATACGTTACATCTTGAAACAATGCAGTTACTAATGTTATAATTTCGATGTCTGCAACTTCTAAATGATAGCTTGTTATATGAAGGAAGTAGTTTCTTGATTTAGCTTCGTTGATTTTGCATTTTGATCAGTCCATACAGGTTCATGGTAAAAATGCCCCTTTGCCTTCTGTATCCGGCGAGGTATCCAGTCAGTATAGTTCAATTTGTTCTAACTTTGTCAATTTTTGTGTAAGATTTGTGCCATTTCAAAAAGGTACTGTTTTTAGTTTTAATTGAAATTACTTATTGTAAATTATGTTGTCTTCAGCTGTTTGTCGAGGTAAGTGATCCTTGCATTTGGTTTCATTTGCTTTCAATGTAAATTTTATTCTTATTTTGATTTGTTTGAGAGTGGGCAGTTATTAATTTTCATTTGATTGTTTAAACGCATTTCGATTGATTAGTGACTTCAATTCTTTTGTGTACAAACCTGACTTATTTTTAAGTGTAATTAACTTTTTCGCTCGTGCAGAGGTAGATGCTGAAGTGATAAAGATACTTGGCAGCATTCATCTCGAAATACAACTTTAGTTTAAAGTTACCGTATCCATCAGGACCTTCAGATACCTTCTGGACTGGAGAAGGTCCGGCTAATTAACAATGTATTTTATGTACTTTATGTAAGACTTCAGAATCAGAATCAGTTATCTTTCAGCAGCTGCTCCGCCTCACCTCGCCCACGTTTACTACATCAGAAACCTTCACGGGCATATGTAATTGATACATTTAACTTTCTATTGTTTCGCCTCAAATCGACGGTATGGTCTTCTACACATATTAGATCTCGCTTTGGCGCCATCTACTAGTTATATTACGATTTAAAATGAAGGAAAAGAGAAAAATTGTTTTCTTACATCTTTCCGTACTTTTTTTCGGAAATTATCGTTTATACACACCTTGTCTTCATGATAACAAACACAAAAAAAACAATTATCTAATTTAGTGCTCTCCGAGGTGCTGTCGGTCTGAAGTTGTGCGTACATATATTTTAGTGATTCATTTTTGTTTAGGATAGATTGACTAAAAAGTCTCTAGACTTGACCACAAAAAAAACACTTGTGATCAATCACGAGAAAAGCTACTTACCAGTTGTGTATTTTGATATAACAAGGGGCAGTGCTATTTGTAACGGTATTAGAGGCACAGCCATCAGTCCCAATTGTTCTTTCGGAATGCCAGTCTCTACCAGTTTGAGCGTCATAACGCTGTCGGTTGCTGAAAATCCAATCTGAAACATTTGACATTTAAGTAGATAGTGGTGCACAGGAATCACTTTCAAATTATGAATTAGGCGCTAATTTCGCTCCAACTCTACGAAGGCATTTCATTTGAGACTAGAATACCTCAAAAATCAGCAGCGCTCAAAATTTATAAAATGTATAAGCATGTTAATAAAAAAGAGCATGATATATGGCCCTATTCTTTTGGGAATAAAGAAAATTTTTGAAATGGTTGGGTGTACCAATTAAGTACTGTTGCAATTAGATTTTGCAACATCTTCAAAAATCATTTCTGGTACAAAATCAAATTGTTACTACTATAATTTGAGGACAATCATGTGCAAATTTGTGTCATTAGCTACCTACAAACTTTCTGGTAACGAATCAACCAAACTTTCTAGTCACTTGTGATTTATACCAATAAGCATTTTTTATGGTGCACCTGTATTTTTTGTTTGCGATACCTACCTTAACAGTGAGAAGAATCAGCACTAACAGTCTGATCGGTTTCAATTTTAATATTTCTACTAAAAGTGAATATGCATTCTTCAGGTCGCGTTCGGGCACATTCTGATGCTCGGCATCGTGAGTTTCCCGTTCGCTCTTCATCACAGCTACAAGAGTCGTGGTAACTACGAAAACCCAACCCCAAAAGTACAGGAAGCCGGAAAGCGTCACCATACCTAAAGTAAAATGTATTAGAACCGTTTACCGCCGTCGCAACCGTACCGTCTTTCTCCGGAACTGAACGCAGATAGTTATTGCAGAAAGTGGCCGACTCTAACGCCATAAACAGTACGTAGCTGAAAAAGAATCCGGCAGTTTGCCCCACTGTGTTACACGTGGAGGCGTGACCGACATTACACTTTTTAAGCATAGTCAGCGCCCATCCGTCCACGGCGACGTCTTGAGTGGCCGCCAGGAAATTCAACGCGAAAAACAGTAAGGTGAGTATTCCGATGTTAGGATGACCGTCGTCACCTAACCATCGATTTACTTGAGAGCTTAGTAGCAACATAAACCCTCCAATTAAATACTGGGTCGGTATTAACCAAGATTTTCTACGTCCTATTCTTGAGGAAAACATACAGTCGACTATTGGTGCCCATAACAATTTCACACTAAAGGGCCAGTTGACAAAACTAAACTCAGCCTGAAACAACCGTGTTTAATTGGATTTGTCGGTGCAAAAGACACCTACCTGTTCTTTATATGTGACCCCACGATTTTGTAAAATCATTGGTATCGCTGCACTTAACCCCAACGGAATGCCTTGTAAGGTATATAAAAACAATAACAATGCAATATTCGTTTCGTCCCCTTTAATGTTTGCTTTTCCGTGGATGTGTGCCACCTCACCATTTTCAATCTTTGAGGACATTTCTTCTTTGCCGCTTTTCCTTCTTTCCATTATTAACTATTTGTCAAGGATTGTGTACAAGATAACCTACAAGAAGAGCCACGTCAGTCTTTAAAATACAACAACCTGTTTTGTATGAATGATGACATGCTGGAATTTACCTTTATTGTCGAGTTTTTCTATTTTTGTGATAACAAAATGGATTAATTGCCCTTTTCACAGATTAATCGAACATAACAAGTTTCGCAGATCCGAAGACCATAATTTTAAATGAATTTCCCACGCTGCCGTAGCCACATCTGATACTGTGGCTACGCCCACGTCTAATCCCACATTAACATATTTCCATTACATAAACTTCTCAAACGGGCTATAACAATTAACTCAAATTTTAACGACTACTAGGTAATTAAGACCGTTATCTTTCAATAACATCTCAGGTTTCTTATCAGGTTTTAAAAGTGAATTCCTAATTACGTTTAGACTACTTTTCCATTGGTGATTTTTAGCTGTGCAACTCAGCTGAATCCCAAGAGACGCGACAAAACCGAGCGCGGCTGGGAACGTCAAGTCAGTCAAGTGTCAATGGGGGAATGAATTCTGACGAAGAAACACTTCATTTTGCAAATTTTGCTATACTAGTCAGCCGCGCGGGCAAAGTCTGGGAGGGTTAAATGGTCGAAGAGCAAAGTAGCGTAATGTACATGATAACATTATCAACGTTGGGCGCACGCGCTGTTGTCGCGTGCTGCTATTCGCGCGGCTAAAAATCGCCAATGAAGGCAGTCTTAACGGTAAGTTTCTGAAAGTACTATACTGGGCATCGATTTCCGAAGTTAGTCGATATGCTCCGTGATGTGCATGTGATGTGACCGGCTGCCATGACGTCATGACTCATGATCGTATACGATAGGGATAAGTTCAAGTTTAGCTGCATTCCCGAATCGTGGACAAACTTTATGCGCTAACCAATCACAGACAAGAATTGAACTGTCAATTATCAGTTTTGTATTTGCATTATGGATACTGTTATTAATAACCAGAAAATCCTCGAACAATTCCATGTTTTATTTCACAGAAAATATGTGAATTTATATAGGTTAGGGCACTGAATAACCTCTATAGCAAAACAGCTGCAAGATCCGTCCTGTAGCTGCAACTGCGCATGACTTTCACGGAACGCGAGTGGTCTAGACCAGTCGTTGCGTTCGATCAACTTATCGCACTATGTGGTAGGTTCGAGAATGTAGTTACATTCACGTTCGCACATCAAGGTCAATCGATGTGAACAAAGCACATCTTCGGGAATCGACGCCCTGATGCGTTCGCACCTCGAGGTCTGATGGACTAAGTGTCTCTTGTACCTACTAATTTGCGATAACGCTATCCATCCGCAATCCCTCATCGCAATCATGTGACATATGATTGAATTGAAGTATTAAAACACAACATACTCCCTTTTACCAAGGATACTATATAATATAAGGGTTGCTCGATCCCTATACTTGTAATGTTGCCCAAGTTTAAGTCATATGTGACGTCACCAACGGACCTGGCTGCCAGAATTGACAGTTATAATTTGCTAAGTTGAGAACGTATTTGCATGGACGCCAAGACGCCGATGTGCAATATTAGACTGTAACAACAGCCGTGTTTGCACAAAAATCACTAACCCGGAAGTCATTTACCATAACTTCCCTAAAACCGATGGATTAATACGCAAGGAATGGATATGGTGCTGCAAGCGTTTCTAATTTAAATGCCTGCCTACAACACCCATTTGAACGTATTTTATGGTAATCCTAAAGGTCGATTCTCATTAGAACAGCACCGAGCGGCGCAGCGCAGAGCAGCGCGGCGCGTCGCTAGCAGCAAATTGTAGAGGGGTATTCCCACTTAAGCACCATTTGGAAGCGTGACGAAGCAGCGTTTCTGTTTGTGTTCAGTTTAAGGGAGAATGTATTCTTACACGCTCGAAGAAGAGCCATCATCGTCATCATCACCAGATGATTTCACAATATTTATAGCGGCACTATGCCATGTACACGACGAAAAAAGAAGAAAAAGAAAGCGGACGAGTACAATTAATTTTTCTATTCTTTGTCCGTCCATAGCGAATCCCCTAACACACGCAAGCTCAACACAAAAGACAAATGAATGCTTTTCACAAGCCGCAGCACCACGCTGATCTGCTTCGCTCCGCGATTCCCACTTATCCGTCTACACGCAGAGCGGCGCGTTTCAAAGCAGCGCCGCTTATTCCAATGCTTCCCGACGCGTTTAAAATTTGCTGCGCTGCACCGCGCCGCCCTGCTCTGCACCGCTCTGCCTAGGTGAAAACGGATCTACTTATTTACATGCGATCAATTGAGAGCAGCTTTTCACCGCGCCGCGTTGCTCGATGCTGCCGATAAGTTGCTGCTATAATGGGAATCGGCCTTAATCAAAGCATGCGCTGGTACTGGGTCCGCGAGTGACGTCACTACACGCGGCGAAAAAATTCAGTGATCGAGCAATCCTTATATTATATAGTATCCTTGCCCTGTTACGTTTGCTCAAAGGGAACGTAACAAACCCTTCCCAAATCTTCCATGACAAAACTCGTAGGTATACTTAGCCAAAGACCTCACCTCGCAGGCTGCCAAAAATCTTCACCGCTGTTTATGATAAATTTCTTTGATGGTGTGCATGTCTAGATTCAATCGATGCCGTTGGTGGAACGACCGACGTGTACAGTCGTACCTTGTTCTCGATGTTCAGTAGGTACGCGTTTCCTGTTAAACAGAGAATACTTTGCTACTCTTTTCTTTCGACACTTCGTTTTCAAGATATTCGCTTCGACTTCACCAATAGATGTCTCGTCCAGACAAATCATTTTGCCTTTGTGGGTACTTTCCTCCTTTTCGAGATATTCGCTCTAAAAGTTTTGACATCACCAATGTATATGTCTCTTGCAGATGCCCCAATCGACCTTTGTGAGTACCTTCTTCTGACAATCCGTTTTGAAGATATAAATGAACACGATAAGAGCTCGAGGAGGAGGACTATGGTTTGGTAGAAATTAATTCCTTTCGTTGAGTAAACGCATGTAAATGACTATGTAAACAGAATGACGGATTAAAGATTTCAATTGCCAACTACAACCATTGAAAGTATAAGATTTGAATATCTAATTTGACCAATTTTTCAGCATCTGCACGTAAATCTTCATAAATTTAAGCAGGTCCAATATGTAACATTTATTCACACAATAGGTACACATGAAATCCACTATACTCTAACACAAACATTTAACAACCTTAGCTACACTTCATATAGTATCTAACAAATTAATTAGGTTGTTATAAAAAAAGGCCACCCCCCAGACAGCCACTGAATGTTCTATAAATAATCCAAAGGCATTTTCGGAATAAATGTTCCAATTTATTCTAGGAACATTTTAAGAATATTATTTTGTCACTAAATCGGACATTCCCTGAATATTCTGAATATACGTATGGAATATACTCTCGAATGTTCTCTGCATCATATATATATATATATTCCATGTACATTCTTTAATGTAAATAAGCAACATTCACAGCACATAGGTACAGTGCATGTTCATTTAAGAATATTTGGGAATGTTCATCATATAATCTAGACATATTTTGATATACACATTATATAATTTATGTAAGTACGTACAACTAAGCATAATTCCTTTTCTAAAATAAACGTAGATAGACAAAATAAACCTTCATTTTTTTAAAATATAAACCATTCATTCTGGCCTGTTGTAGGCGTCCAATATTTATTTATATAGTAAAGTTAACATTTAAGGACCTCCCGCAACGCCATATATGCCCGGGGTGGGGCCTAAATACCAATATGGTGCCTAAAAAGTTCAAAAACAGTCAAAAAATCGTTCTTCTCCAGTTTCCTCATTTTTACCACACTGGTCACTCGATTCCCAGGTCGGTGGCACAGAGCAATAATATGCGAATTGCGACTAACCATCGGGATACTGACTTTCCGTTTTTCCATACATTCGCCCTTTTTAAAAAAGTTCAAATATTTTAGTAACAATAGAGCGCTATCGAAAAAAGTTTCAAATAAAAGTTGCAAGATCCAAATGAGATAAATTCAATGGACGTAGAAAACCATTTTTTAAAATGGCGGCTTTCGAGATATTGACAACTTCCTTATTTTAAATGGACACCACATTTAATTTGTACGTCATTCGAAAGAGAAAAAAATTACAAAACCAGTATAAGTACACTAAACACTTAATATTTCATTTGGGAGTCAACCTTGCATTTTTGCCTTGAAGTTTACAATTATGGCAATAATTCCATGGCCATGTCGATGGTGACTATGCGCGACAATTATAAACGAACGAATTTGGTTTAAATCACAGTTAGGTAGCCATGGAATTATTGTGCCATAAGAAATACATTGTAAACTTTAAGGCAAAAATGCAAGCCTGATTGTTATCACTGGTTTTGTAATTGATTTTTCTATCGAGTAAAGTATAAATCCAATATGGCGTCCATTTAAAATAAGGAAGTCTTGTCAATATCTCGCGAACCGCCATTTTCAAAATTTTATTTCTACATCCATTGAATTTATCCCATTCAATCTTGGAACTTTTATTTGAAACTTTTTTCGGTAGCTCCCTTTATTACTAAAATATATGAACTTTATAAAAATGTCGATTTTCACTTTTTTCCAATTAGGTATCTATACGCTCTAAAATTGCTCTAAAATTGCAACGTTTTCATTCCGTCTTAAGACTGCGCAGGACAAAACGTTGTGCAAAACGTAGCGTATCTGGACCGGCCTTTAGACATGATTTAGAGAGCCTTCATCAGAAATGTCTCCCTGACTATAGAGTCACACCTACATGAATTTATTTGAAACACATAATTAGAAAACAGATTTTTTGATACGCGGCATGGTAGAATCAAATTAATAATCGACTAAACACAGACGATATAAATTGAAAACAATGAGGTTATATCGATTCCGAGATCGATTCAATATCGTGCATGACGAGCATCTTAATATTTGCGAGTAAAACCAAAACCCCTAAATGTGAAACCATATGCCAAGAACATTTTCTATAAATACCTATACCATCAGGTACATTCTTAAAAGATGTTCTCGGATTATTCTTTGAATATTCTTTTGATATTAAAATTAGAATATTTGAAGAACATTCATATATAATACCATAAGTAATCGAAGTATTGTCGAATATTTTTGAGGTGCTGTCACGAATGCTAGTAACTAGCATGAGTGGAGCAGCAGCTCAAAAATAATCTACAAATACTT